TCAATTCCTATTAAATTATTGCGAAAATTACGTCATTTACGGTATAAAATGGTAAAAAACTACACCGGAAGTAGACGCATCTCTCACCAGATGCTGTGCATCGTCTCTGCTCAATAATACAAGTTTTATTGTTTTGTAAAACTTGTACTATTTACCATACCTCGCGCAGAATGTAGTTTCAAGCTTCTTGAAGCTTTTTTTGTTTTCCATTCTGCTGCAAATGTAATAAGTTGGTAGCCGTGCCCTATCAGGGAGAGTTACGTCACTCGCGGACTTATACGGGTCAGGCAAAGAAACTTTACTTGCAAACTAAACGACTTTAGGGGCTGTACGTGGGCATATTTTGAATTGGCATCCCGATTTAATATTTGTTATTATTCTATTTTGTGATTCTAATAGAAACTTCTGTGCCACATATTTAACATGAATAGAAAAACAAGAATGTCTTGTGCAGTAAGTTGTTGAGTTGATCCTTGAAGTTCATTGTTGCTCTCTGAAGCCTGTTATATTGCCTAATTGTAAGTATTATCTGGTCGGTTTTCGAGTCGAAAAACAACCTTAATTACTACGCTGATTATACAAGCGGTTAAGTTAATGATCAAATTCGGCTTATTCCCAAAGGTCCACGACTCTATTGTTCTTCTTTTCTCAACGGGTCCATGAAATTTGAAAATATACTAAGGAAATGCTTTTCAGGGTTCCGTAGTCGTGACAAGGTATTATGGTAACGACGGACAACTTCAGTACCTCGTGGACCTGTTGGGAATCAAAGTATGAACTTACATTTTTTTAAGACAATAGAGCTGTGGACCTTTGGGAATAAGCCTCAAATTATACGTAGTAGGTATTGTTCAAACTATTCACACGCGTACAAAGTCGCGGGCACAGATAGTTTTCATCAATAACATTACCTAACTTCGCCTCAGTGTATTGAAGCGTGAAATAATGTCGCATTGAGGCCGGCTGGAGCGCAAGTGATTGTGTTGCGACAAAAGTTGCGCGACGTCCGACGTTATCTGACTCCACAGCGACGCGTTGTAGGAAGGGAGACGACGACACGTTTGCTGTTAGTTTATCTTTTATTTGTGTCCATTTGTATTAATGTCATGCGAATATGAGCTTAAAAGATAAGACGTAAGCCATAATGGCAACGTTTTTTTATTTTCACAATTTCTTGTTTTATAATTTCATAAATCTGAACGAATTTGATAAAATATTAACGTTTTCTGGTCATAATTGCAGAACTAAATTGTTTATCCATGTCGTTTTTCATTATTTGTTCCATCGAATCCTTGTTATTGCCATCTTCATTGTAAAATACGAGAATTCTTGTTTTTATACATTTTTCTGCCTTTTCTTCTTCTTGCCTTTCTTTCTTTTGAACGTTGTTCCAAGCAAACTGACTGACTATATTATGTCTTATAAATAAAAGAAATATAAATCAGATATATCTAAAACTACACGACTTCTTTGAGATGTGGCCCCGGCTCCCGGCCTATAAGCTGCCCCTTCTCAGTCCCGTTGAATAATACAGCAGTTTTGTGTGTGATTGTGCTCGCAGGCGTGAGAGCTAACTAAAGGAAGGGAATGAAGCGATAGGGAACATTATGGACTAGACTTTGCCCGTGGTTCCGCACGCAAATGCGATTCGGGAAGTCCAAATGCGTTTTCAAATAACGCATTTGGCTACCCGAATCGTTTAGAATTTAGTATAGGTATCATCAGTTCTTGAATTCTTAACACTTAAAAAATAAGCCTTCCCAAATCGAAATCATCATCATTATCAACGGGCCCTGACCTGACTCTGTCTAATTTAGGTACCAGATGCAAATGGAGGATTTGATCTACATTATACTGAAGAGTCTTTAGACTTTTACTAGGAGAAGTAATTTTCAAATTCCAAATCATCCGATAAGAAACGTATTTTATGCTTGACTTTAAGCCATTGTAGGCTCTATCGACCTGCTTTATCCCCTTAATACGGCTCATAAAGTTTGACACAAGATACCCTGGTGTAACGGCTCACATAATAAGTGGAAAGGTATTATTCCTTCAAGTCAACGCCATTAAATATGAGCTTCGTTAAAATTCCTCACATTACGTGCTATTTACCTTTAGGACAATGTTGTCAACCTTTTAACTACTTAAAAAACCGGAAGTTCATTAAATTACAAGTTAACTATCTCACAAACAAAGTAACAAGTGCCGCCTCCACGCAAACTCAAGTAAAATATTCAATACTACGGCGCTACGGTCCCTGGGGTCTCGTAGCTACGAACTACGAGCTACGGCGTAGGCGTAGACGCGTAGCGGCGACAACTTGCTACAGCGTTTATTGTTCACGTTTTTTCCTGGACAAAGATTGTAATAAACTCTGTTAGGTTAGGTTTTTAGGTCGATTTTTATATAAGTTCTCTAAGACGAAGCAAAGAAAAAAGCTGGAATTCGTTGCGTTCTGCTGTCTTTCCCGAAGATAATCCAGGCCTTTTCAAAGCGAGAGTGAATAAACACTTACAGGGCAGATATCGTCGCCTTAGAATGAAAACCTCGGGAATGCTTCTTTCCTGATATTTATTCATTTTATGCATTTCGGCCAATCTTACAGAATATACAGTTCTGGATATAAAAGCGGTTTAAATCATATTACACTTAAGAGGTTTTAAGGCGTCGATATGTACCCTCCTAGACTGCATTTCAATAGCAAGTGCGATTGCGGTCAAATACATGCCTTGTTCTGCATTACAAAAATGTCCCTAGGGAGTCCTACAGGCAAACGTTAGTTAGTTTCTGACGTCAAAAATTTAATATTTTTGCTAGCAAACGCGTGGCCCAATTGTGAACCATGTTTTATAGCCTCAATTTGTGCACTCGACTGTCCGACGACTATGGACAGTACAAGCTAAACAATGTGTTACCTTTTGCAGTGGTGATAGATGTTATTTTGCGACGATAACGTATAGTCTGAAATGCTGTTGTCTGGACAAATGAAAACAACGCCGAAATTAATGTAGATCGTATTGTAGGTCTTTATTTTGTTAATTAAATTACATTTTAATCAACAAGCTACTGTATTTACTACCTTTTGTATCGATTTGCATCTAAATATGTATAACTCAAAGGTGACTGACTGACTGACTGACATAGTGATCTATCAACGCACAGCCCAAACCACTGGACGGATCGGGCTGAAATTTGGCATGCAGGTAGATGTTATGACGTTGGATTCCGCTAAGAAAGGATTTTACGAAACTCCACTCCTAAGGGGGTAAAACGGGATCCACGCGTACGAAGTCGCGGGCGGCCGCTAACTTAATATACAGTGTGAGTCACGTTAAAGTGTACATATGAAAATAGATGAAACTAGACCTATTTTTATCGACAAAAAAGAGGTCAACATTTTTTTGAGTTTTTTTTTTTATTTTTTATAGAATTTTTTTTCTTCAAATTACTTATTGTAAAGAAAACGTAATAACTTTTAAACTAAGCGGTATATCCTGATAAAATAAAAACAGTAATAATGCTAAATAACAGACGATACTAAAAAATACATAAAATACACAAAAAATGCCAACAAATAATAAAAAATGATACTTTTGAAAAAAAATCTGCTTAAAAATTCGTGTTTTTTTGGTTATTTTATAAATTTCTCCAAAAAATGCCCCTATAACAGGTGGTTTTTATTACTTTGTATTATTTTCTATTGTATTATCTTTGTAAAACCAAAAATCGCATGTCTCTATCCCTATCACAACATTTGCTNTTTTTATTACTTTGTATTATTTTCTATTGTATTATCTTTGTAAAACCAAAAATCGCATGTCTCTATCCCTATCACAACATTTGCTATGATCGTTTGAACAAAGGCCTGCCACAACATTATTCTCCGCTACACGTAGAGACAATTTTAATTTTAACTAAAATGCTTATTTTACTTCGAAATCTATTGTTTTTATTTGAAATCTAACTTGTCTTTATCAAAATTACAAATCTAGAGCCATTTTCAGTTTTGTTGTTAACGAAGCGTTGAATGGCGCGCCCGGAGAGGCTTAGTTCAAACGATCATTGCAAACGTTGTGATAGGGATAGACATGCGATTTTTCGTTTTACAAAGGTAATACGATAGAGAATAATACAAAGTAATAAAAACTACCGGTTATAGGGGCATTTTTTGGAGAAATTTATCAAATAACCAAAAAAACACGAATTTTTAAGCGGGTTTTTTTCAAAAAATATAATTTTTTTATTATTTGTTGACCTTTCTTGTGTATTTTATGTATTTTTTTAGTATTGCCTGTTATTTAGCATTATTACTGTTTTTATTTTACCAAGATATACCGCTTAGTTTAAAAGTTATTATGTTTTCTTTACAATAAGTAATTTGAAGAAAAAAAATTCTATAAAAAATAAAATAAAAATCTCAAAAAAATTTTGACCTCTTTTTTGTCGATAAAAATAGGTCTAGTTTCATCTATTTTCATATGTACACTTTAACGTGACTCACACTGTATAGAGCACACTCGAGTATATTTATAAGGGTTATCAATATTTATTTTACATGCATTGAATGAATTGTTTGCTGATTGGCAATATCCATTTGGCTGTATATTTGTAAATATTGTCACATATTGTTTACGGCGAGCTTCTGTTTATTTTACAATTTCTTTTCTAAACTAATTTTAGTAATAGATTTGTGCACTATCGTTTAAAACAATAAATTGCAACGAGTGCATAGAAAAACATTATTCATTTTTTAAAGATTGATTCCGAAGAAAGATTTCCCAACTTAAAGTTTAAATCCGACTTGAACTTTCTAGATCGAATGACGAACTATCTCCACCCCACGCGTCAAAGTGCACCTGCTCCTAATAATAACAAGCCGTGCAAGTGCGTTGCCATTTTCAAAATAATTCATTACCCCAAAATTAGGTCAGCAGAGCCGTCTGAAGTCGCCGCCTTTGCTTGCGCATTCCCTTGAAGTCGGGCGCGGTGCGCGCGCAGCGAACACTGCCGAACGCCCAGTCTCCGCGAGCCACCAAAACCTGTGCTCCAAAAAACAAAAAAATTAAGGCGTGTTCGAAAATCAAATTCAAATCACAAAAATAACAATGGCCGCCGACCCTCTCTCGCAATGTAGTGCCGCGTGATAACCGGACAGTATGCTGCCCCTCTTCGCAGGGACCTAAGGCAGTTGCGAATTCGTTGTTGTGTGTATTGCATTGTATGTGAGGAGTGTGTGACGAAGGTGTACCTAATTGATTTTATTCAGCCTACCGATGACCCTATGTAAGTATACAGACTCTCAATTTTTTTCTAACCGCATCTACAAGTATGTCTTTATTTTTACATAAAATATTTTTATGTTAATTAGCTCAAAAGTCAATACACTTTTTAGTGATAAAATAACACATTATCTTCTACATATTTACTAACTATTAATTACTTACGAATTAAATAAATAAAGAGCGAAATATAACTGCTCAAAAAAGGCACAGATAGCCATATTCGTCTGAGAGATACGTGCACGAGCTTACGATGTGGATAGAAATGATAACGTCCATCAACATCCTTTCTTTCCACCTATTACATTTTTGTAAATAAGTCGTATAGTATTGGACCAAAATCTTTCAGTGAATAAAAGAAATCTTCTAAATATGTTAGTCTCTACGTCTTAAATTGAAAGTATGATGTAGCTCTGAAGGTTATTAACGATGTTTTAAAATAATGACTTACTTAGCTAAAATGTGAATCCTTTGGGTTTTAAGTACTTTAAAAAAACAAACCGATTTGAGAACCGAAGTTTTGTTGAAGTCGGTTAAAAAAGCGCAAAGCTTTCTTATTAAGTTATGGTGTTTTGTTATCGCATGATCATATGTCCAATTAATATTAAAACTACTCAAGGCTGACTATATTTAAATAGGATTCATAAAACAAGTAATTTTAACAAACTAAACTATACATTATCTCACAAAAATGCTTAGGTATTTGAAATGCGCCAAGGATTTCTTTCTATTGCCATATTTTTCTGAATACAGAATTACGTTACTATTGAGACAGCGAAATAATGTTATTCTGTCTTTTTCCATTATAAGAGGCTATTTTCACAGCCATTATATTGTTATTTGTTTGTAGCAATAGTTCTCTAATATTCATATCTGTTACGCAGATTTTTCTCTACGTACGAGTGGCAGTAGGTTTGTTGTACATATTGTATTTCGTTATTTTCCTTTATGTGAAATATTTAACAACCTCAGTGAAACTTTATGAGCCATGGAACAACCCATATCTTAGGATGCAGTAGGCGTTGTTTCACGTGTATTTCAGGCGTTTGTGTTTACAGGCGGATACGTTTCATGGATAGTAACAACAATGAAACAAATATTACGATGCAAACCAAGCATTTAATATTTTTATTTAAATAGCTTGTATTGTCGAATGAAGACAACATTTATCCAATTGCTGATGTTGCATTGGCGCTATAGTTGACGCTTTTGCTTTCGTTCGTTCGTATCGTGGGAGGATGACCCATGCAAATTGTAATAGCTGATCGATCAATTAGTATGGAGCAGAGAATTTTGCTTGCTGCATACTGAGATTATTCAATATGCAATAAATACCCTTGAAAATTTCCAAACTTTCAGCTATATTGTAGGCAGAAAATTAAACCACATTTTACATTGGTGCGTTCTTAAGTGATCACTTAATTCCTAACTTATCCCATCTCATATCTCGCTTATAAATTGGTTTATAACCGAGCCCGTGACCCGTGCATCTTAATAAACAGGGTCCATTGATTGAAAGCCTTAATTAAGCTTATAGTGACCCTTGAAGGGACCCGCTGGCTGCCCGTTAGCCATTGTTGTTGTAACGAACCCGCTATCTCCCGATTGTTCGTCAGCGATCTATTGATTGGAGCCAGTGCGGGGAGATAACAGTCTTTTGTCTTGTCTTTGGCATATCCTGCCACTCTGGGGTCCCTGCAGTCTATTTGTTACAGTCTTTTGTCTTTTGTTTGGCATATCCTGCCAGTCCGAGTTCCCTAGTATTTGTTGTATTCTTTTGTCTTCTCTTCGACATATCCTGCCAGTCTGCACACTCTTTACCACACTATCGCCCGTATCCACAAATATTACTATGAGGTCTCACAGTGGGCGTGGACGCACAGGGTGATACACGAACCAATCACAGAGCTCTATTCAACGCTGTGCGTTCGTTTGTGAATCTTTTGGCTTCTCTTTGGCATATCCTGCCACTCTGGGGTCCCTGCAGTCTATTTGTTAATCTTTTGTCTTCTCTTTGACATATCCTGCCAGTCTGCACACCCTTTACCTACCACACTATCGCCGGATTCACAAACATTACTATGAGGTCTCACAGTGGGCGTGGACGCACAATGTGACACACGAACCAATTACAGAGCTCTATTCAACGCTGTGCATTCGATTTGCTGATTCACTTAAGCAAGCATCGTTTGTGAATCTTTTGGCTTCTCTTAGGCATATCCTGCCAGTCTGGGGTCCCTGTAGTCTATTTGTTACAGTCTTTTGTCTTTTGTTTGGCATATCCTGCCAGTCTGCACACCCTTTAGAAAGAAATAAAGAAAGAAAAAATGTTTATTTGGCACCAAATTACATGCACTTCTTAAAAACCTACACAATATTTAACTTATTCTAATACAAAACAAAAATTATATAAAATTACCTACCACACTATCGCCCGTATCCACTAATATTACTATGAGGTCTCACAGTGCGCGTGGACGCACAGGGTGACACACGAACCAATCACAGAGCTCTATTCAACGCTGTGCGTTCGATTTGCTGATTCACTTCAGCAAGCATCGTTTGTGAATACAGGCGTATATCTTTTGTCTTCTCTTAGGCATATCCTGCCACTCTGGGGTCCTTGCAGTCTATTTGTTAGTCTTTTGTCTTCTCTTTGACATATCCTGCCAGTCTGCACGCCCTTTATCATACTATCTGTAGTCCTTTGTCTGCTCTTTGACATATCCTGACACTACAATCAGCGGTTTGTCGTGTATTTAGCCACGGGCAAATTTCGGTCTGTTACAGAATGTAAACTTCAGTATTTCGCACTCGTGTCTGTCTGTAACACTTTATTTTTTGTGTATTGGATATTATTGTAATAATGTTTAGCTAGGAATGAGAAATGATCGATGCTCCGCACGAATTTCATTTCCTATTTCGCCTCGTCAAGTTTTATTATCACGAAAGCGAATTAGAAGTGGGACGTCCTCCCACAAGGTGGACCGACGACCTGATAAAGGTAGCAGGAAGGTGCTGGATGCAGGCCGCTACCAACCGTGCGATGTGGAAGTCATTGGGGGAGGCCTATGTTCAGCAGTGGACGTCCTATGGCTGAAATGATGATGATGATGATGAATAAGAAGTTGCATGACTCCATTTTGCAGAAGATGGCATGTTAAGCTAAACACTGTGAGATCTTATGCATTTGGTAATAGAGTAGGGACGACTTATTGACTAATAATCATTAATCGAATTGTGGGCGTAAGAAAAGTGACACATATCAATTGATATTTTCCTTCTTCGTTCGTTCGTCGCTCTACCAAAAGTAACATTTCCATCCGTTGTTGGGTAATAAGCTCTATATTAAGCTAGTTATATTATAAACTAGCTTTCCGCCCAAGGCTTCGCCCGCGTGGAATTTTGTATGTCACAGAAAAACTTTATCCCCGCGTCCCTGTTTCAAAAATCGGGATAAAAACTATCCTATGTCCTTTCCCGGGACTCAAACCAACTCTATGCCAAACATCAAAATAGGTTCAGTGGTTTAGGCGTGACAGTAAGACAGACAGACAGAGTTACTTTCGCATTTATAATATTAGTGTAGATAGTTTAGATGGTCGGGCTGTAATATTTGAGCTTTGCCAGGCTTAGATACTGTACGTAGCCATTGTGCGTTATAATTGGATAGTTTAGCTGATTTATTCAAGGGAAAACAGTCTCTATGGACTGCGGTGTAAGAGTCACTTACGAGTTTAGCAGTTAAGTTTATTATTCGCAAGATATCACCGAATTCAAGCCTCTGGCGCACTTTAACTGGCGTGACAGCGTCGCAACGTGAGGTTGATTGGCATTTTCATAAAAGTTATTAATAAAATTGCGTATTAATAATATAATATAATAACAATTAATGGCCAATGAAATGTGGAGTAAATGGGTCCTCGATAAAGACATCGTATCGGCAAATGCATTACCCCTTCCAAATGGACTGACTACATCACAGAGATAGTACTTAGTGGCTGACTGAAAACGCTGGAGAAAGAAGAACGGTCATCTGTGACCCAGGCCCGACAGAAACGAGACATACCTCAGTTTTTTTGTCATGTCTTAATTAGTTAAATTATATATTTTTTATATTCGAAATCTATGTATAACACCAAAATATTACCCTTTGTTTTTGTTCAGGCGTTATACAAAAACTAATACAAAATGCCTATTTATCACCAAAATTGTTAAATGTGTGTACCTAAATGTCTATTACATCTGCTATGGAATGAATCTAGGTGACCTGGAGATACAGCCGGATTATACAGGGTGGAAACGAGAAGTTACAAAATCCAAAAATTCAATGTTACCAGCTTCCATAATCTGTAACCTATTATATTGGTACCATTTGAAAGAGCTCGTGAAGCACTTTCAGAATCAGTAATTAGTTTTTCGATATCTTGTATAGTTTAGAAATAATCGAGTGAGATCACTTATCGTTCCATATGTATAACCACCCTGTATAATCCGGCTGTATCTCCAGGTCACCTAGATACATTCCATAGCAGCTGTAATAGACATTTAGGTACATACATTTACCAATTTTGTTGATAAATAGGCATTTTGTATTAGTTTTTGTATAACGCCTGAACAAAAACAAAGGGTAATATTTTGGTGTTATACATAGATTTCGAATATAAAAAATATATAATTTAACTTATAAGACATAACAAAAAAACTGAGGTAAGTATGTCTCGTTTCTGTCGGGCCTGGGTTTTTTTTGTATGGGGCGTGACCGTTCTTCTTTTTCAGGTAGTGGATTTCATATTTTTAGGGCTGATTGAAGTTGGCATATTGACAGTTTTGTTAAGGGAAATATGTCAAAATGACAACGTTATTCTTCAGTTGAAAGCTATCCGACGATTGAAAAATCAGTCCTTAAAGCAGGTTAAAATGGACTCACTAGATATCTCAGTGTGCCTACCATGAGTTTACGTTAGGTGTGCTCGCTAGCGACTGCGTAAATAAATGACATTT